TTTGATGAGCTGGAAAGAGCACCGGAGTGGAAGATGACTGTCAGGTCTGGCTTCTTTCATGTTCAAAGAATTATTCACAGTTCTGTCACCCCACGAAAGGACCTTCCCTTGCCTTGGACTCATCCATCTTTCTAAGTTGGAACTTATGACCTTGAAACTCCACCTATGTGCAAGATGACGATGGGGCTTTGTTTAAATGCTGGCAGAAAGTTCCAGAAGTGACAAGGTGTGTTCTTAGGAAGAGGGGAGACACATAGGGAATTACATGGAGTCTATAGATTGGGAGTCTCCCCAGGTTTCACATTAGCCTGGAGGTGACAGCCCCTTGAGGGCTGTGGAAGCAGATGTAGCCACTTTGGTGAGGCATTTAGATGGATGTTGTAATATTTTGGGTTAGTCTATACTTTCTTATAATTTTACATATTTTTAAATTTTTTACTCATTTATTATTTTTATTTTTATCCCCAACAATTCCCTGTTGCTTTTTTTTTTTTTTAAATAAAACATTATTTTCTCATATATTTATGTCATCTGCTTGGCACCTGAAGTCACCAACTTGCAACTCCATACAAGAGCTTTCAAACTCAGCCGGGTGCAGGAGTTTTGGTCCTGCCTTTGGTCCCAGTGCCTAGAAGGCAGAGGCAGGCGGACCTCTGTGAGTTTGAGGCTAGCCTGGTCTACATAGGGAGTTCCAGGCCAGGCAGGGCTACACAGAGAGATCCTGCCTCAAACTCTGTTGCTTTGACCAGTTGAGAAAACAAGACACCAAGTACAGAACAGTGTAAGAATAGAGAGTGGTTGGTTTTAATTCTGCTTTTGTTTTAAATGTCGTTGCTTATCAAAAAAACCCAAACAAAACAAAACAAAAATGACACTATTACATTGGTTCCATTTGAGGAAAATTGATTTGGTAGACCTAAAATGTTGAGATCTGCTCAGTTTCAAAGATGTAAGAAACAGGATGAGCATCTGGAATAGTTCACCTGCCTGTTGTAAAGTTTCCAAATCCAACCCTAGAATCACTTCAGAAATTCCTTCCTCCATGTTAGGAATAATAAAGTGTTAAGGACCTTTGACTCATGTGAGCTGGGGCGGCATCGTCTCTCCTGACTAACTGTAAGAACCCGATGTGTTATTTAATTAAACAAAAATAATGTTTTATTGTCCTCTACAGACTTAATTTGTCTAGGATAGAGGCTTCTTATAGGATCCAAAAATTTTTTTTTTTTAAAAGGTTCAAAATAATATTCTTCTTCATGTCTATAAACCCAGCATTTTCAAGGCTGAGGCATTGAGGATTGTTATGAGTTTAAGGTCATCCTGGGCTAAGGTCACTCATGCATACTCACTCACTCTCTCTCTCTCTCTCTCTCACACACACACACACACACACACACTCACGCACCTCATATAAACAGCTCATTTCCTCGCTTTGCACCCATTTCACTTTCAAGGAAGCAGTCTTACTCTGACACCTTCTCCCTCCACCCCCGCCCGCCTTGTGCTGCCTCCACCACCATCAATTCTCTTTGTCATTGTTATCCTCAGACCTTTTGCCAAGATGCATGATTCACCAGGTAAAGCATCAAACTGGCTGTCAAAGTGATGGGAGCAAGGCTCCTCAAAGTCGCTCTGTTGGAATTTGAAAAAAAAAAAAAAAGTGGCAAGCTCATTGTAACTTGGTCTGAGAGAAAGACAGAAAATAAGACATTTAAAAAATACTTGGGGGCTGGAGAGATGGCTCAGAGGGGAATAGCACTGGCTGTTCTTCCAAAGGTCCTGAGTTCAATTCCCAACAACCACATGGTGGCTCATAACCATCTATAATGTGATCTGGTGTCCTCTTCTGGACTGCAGGCACACATGCAAGCAGAATACGGTGTAAATAATTAATAAATCTTTTTTTCTTTTTTTTTAATGCTTGTATCATCAAATAGAGGATGGAGGCTTCAGATCCTGGCTTGCTCATATCCTGGTCATTGTGTTACAAGGCAGGTCTATACCCTACTATATTCTAATAATGATGTAAAGGCTTGTTAAGGCTGTAAGGAATCAGACAGAACAAATGTAGCAGTAAACAATTTGATTTTACTTATAAAGAAATAATAATTTCATTTATATGAATTTAAATTTTTAAATCACATTACATAAAGGGCTTTTAATTTGAATAATATTTAAGAGGTACTTGTAGACATATTTAGAAAACTCAAGATACTGTAAATATAGACACCCTAAAAAACATGACTCCCATCCCCTGCCATACTTTCCTAAGATTAGTTCTTGGTATCCATCCAACATCTCTTAATACATTTACAAATAAATAAAAATCATATTTAAGAAATAGCTGCAGCCAGGTAATAGTTGTACACACCTTTAATCCCAGTACTTGGGAGGCAGAGGCAGGAGGATCTCTGAGTTCGAGGCCAGCTGGTCTACAGAGTGAGTTTCAGGAGAGTCAGGGCTACACAGAGAAACCCCGTCTTGAAAAACCAAAACAAACAAAAATCTTGGATTGCTTCTGAAACTTATTCTTTGAAAGAATGATATGTGAATCTTAAATGCCATTAGCATGGGAGTCTAGACAGTGCTGAGTCATTGACAAAAATCCTTCTACCCCAGCTGCAGAGTAATGGGATTACAGTGTGCCATAATCAGATCTAGTAATTGACTTAAAAAAAAGATGATCATATCTTACTACGTGAGTCAGTATTTAGCAATATTTTTATATTCAGCTCAATAGTAGTAGACAGATTTCTTGGTGGCTTTTCATAGCCAAGGATAGCAATCCCATGATAGGTGGTCAATTAGCAGTAAAGATTCTATCTCAGTTACTAGCCACTGGGCAATCCACAGAGATAAAATTTAAACAGAAGCAACCAACTTTCACTATGAGTGGTCAGTCTCCCTTCTGGCTCTCTGCTCTCCTGAAACTACAGCATAGCAACATGAAAGTCCACGTGTAAGGATACGCTTGTACCTTTGTGTGTAAGAGCCCAATAACCAATGCAGTGATTTAGGGAACCCTCAAAGAACGCATGCCACTAAGCTGTGAGAGAGAAAAAGATATTGACCTGAATGTAACTCCATATTGTTTTACATTGTTTAACACAAGATACAGCCCCATACACCTATAAATCCCATCACTCGAGAGGCTGAAGTACAAAGACTGACGAGAGTTCAAGGCCAGCATGGGCGACATAGCGAGATCCTATCTTGTGAACAAACAAATATTGCAAATTACTATGCATTGTCTAATTTCACCTCTGGGAACAAGGGAGGGTACCCATCTAAGCATAAATGGGGGTTCTCCGTGAAGGGAATGGGGAGGACTGTTTTACTTCTCTGCTGATAGAATTTATGAAGTGGTAAGGTTATGAGCGGCTGTCGTGGCCAACTTTAGTTGTGGTTTGTGTGGGAAATTTCCACAGTCTTAAGGGTATGGAACGCTTGGCCCCTCGCTGGAGGAAGAGCTTGGGGAACACATTGGGAGGTGTGGCCTTGCTAAAGGAAGTTTGTCACTGGGGCTGGGCCTTGAGCCTTTGCTCACTTCCAGTTTGCAACCTGGGTGTGTGTTTGCAGTTGAAGATATGGTCTCTCAGCTTCCTGCTCTGGCCTGTTGCCATTCCTTCTCTACTGTTATGGACTCCCTTCTGGAACCATAAGCCTAAATAAATTCTTTCTTTCACAGGTTCCTTTTGGACACAAAAGAAAATAACGAATACAATCAGCAACTTGACAAAATCTAGAAAGACTTGGGAAGGAAGTCCTGTCTATCCATCTGTCTGCTCCCTCCCCCTGCAAAACAGAATTTCTCTGTGTAGTCCTGGTTGGCCTAGAACTCACTCTGTAGACCAGGCTGGCCGCCTCAGACTCAGAGGTCTGCCTGCCTCTGCCTCCTGAGTGCTTGGATTAAAGGCGTGCACCACCACTGTCCAGCAGGAAAAAAAGTCCTAATGGAAGATTGTGTTGTTTTCAACAAAATCTGAACGGTTTGATTTTAGCAATAAAGACTTGGGAGTCAGATGCTGGGATGAAAGCCTGAGAGGCAGAGAAAGCACCAGCTGACCTTTCTCCTCAGCCAAAGGCCCCTCCTTGTGTGTCTTTCTATTCATTCTCCGGACTTCCTCTTACTCTCTGTTTTTGTTTTTGTTTTTGTTTTTGTTTTCCCTATGTTTACTCCCTGTCAACTGGTTGCTTGCTCCACCTCTTGACCACGGTTGACTTTATTTAATCCTGTTTAGTACATTCAAGTAGTAAACTCTTGGATTAAAGGTGTGCACTAGGACTGAGCCACACCACAACTAGAAACAGGTTTTTCCAGAAAACAACACAACCTCGGGGTTCACAGTGTGGTCACACGTTCTGCCACAGGGTTGCTTAGGTTGGGCGGCAATGGCTAGGAATGGTTCTCACTGGGAACGGTTTCGGAAGGAAGGGGGGTTTAACTTTGCCGGGATGGTGGCAGCCCCAGATGTGTTAGGTAATACCGTGCGAGACAGTAAACAAAACTAGTTCCCTAAGAGTCTGAATAGGCTGTTTGCCAAACTGGACTCCAGCCCCTTCCTGGACCATTAGAAGAAAAGCTGTGGCGATATTGTTCTTCAAGGGTCTGGGCTAACTGTATAGTCATCCTGTTGTGTGACTTTGGCTTGACCTGCCCTTTCTTTGCTAGGCAGGATTCCCTTCCCCCACCAGGGATACCCTCTACCATCGGATATACCGTAATTTGAATCGGGGGCCGAGTGCACACTGAACAAAAGCCCTATCACTGAGTACATTCATGCATCCCCAGCCGTCTAAGCCTTGTTCAGACTTAACATAACTGAAAACCCCCTGAACACCCTAACTTGTCCATTCTCACCTCAACCTTTAACAGGGAGCCTTCCCAGGTGGGGAGATTGGCGCACAATGCAAGGAAAACAGAACTCAGGGTTTGCCAACAATACAGACTAAATACTTTATTAGGTTCCAAAATGAGAAAATGGTAGTGTTAACCTGTTTTAGTATAAATCGACCACTCTCCGCAAAGAGCCCGCCTTAGCGTCTACAGCGCCCCAGTCGTGGTAGCGCCGGTACTCCTGAGGCCTCAGCAGGTACTGCCGGCCTCGGTAGTTGGGCATCTCGTAGAGGACCCAGCAGCCCTCCAGCACGTGCAGCGAGCGCACCTCACTGAGATGGAAGCGGTCCTGGATAGAGGAGCAATCCTCGTTCAGCTCCATCATGAGGCCTTTGTGGTCTTCTTTCTCATACAGCCGCATCCTGTGGGAGCCTGTCTGCTTGGGTCACACAGAGAAAGGTAAGAAAAGGCAATTGAGTCTCTCCCCCCACCCCCCGGCACTCATCTGCAAAACAGCCTGTGAGTGTGGGTGGCTGAGTCAGCAGGCTGTTGGTGTAAGATCTGAGTCTCTGAGACTGGGCAGCCTGCTGGAACCTGTGGGTCGATTTCACCCAGATGGCCTGAGACCATTGGAAAGCACAGATATCGTAACAGATACTGTTACGATTCATAACAGTAGCAAAAATTACAGTTATGAAGCAGCAATGAAATAATTTTATGGTTGGGGGTCGCCACAATATGAGGAACCATATTAAAGGGTCACAGCATTAGGAAGGTTGAGAACCGCTGAACTAGGAGGTGGAATTTTTAAGACATTAAAACTGAATTTCTCTAAATTTTCCATTCCCTATGTTCATTCTAAGCTGCATGTTGGAAGAAATAAAATTAATGTTTTGACTGATATTTTTGTATGTTTATATACATATAAGTCCATTATTAAAATAGGAATTTTTCTTGCATTTTTTTTGAGAATTGCATACATTACTACTGAATTTACATCATTTTCATGCTTTCTATTTTCCTTATTTTGTAACCTAGATTGGCTTCAAACCCAAGAGCCTTCTGCCTCAGCTTTCCGGATGCTAGGATTACAGGGTATCACTATGCTGGGCCTCCACAGAGCTCAGAACAATCATATGCTTCTGTGGAAAGTCAATTTAAATAACCCCTTACAACTAGAATTTAGCTGATTTTCAAAATTCAGAGAAGTCACCATTTCCAAAAGTAGGATCTGCCTTTGCAGATATCGGTCTCTGTGCTTTCTCAATGCTTTTTCTATTCCACGACGGAGAGTAACTCACTCCCTTACTAGAAATTCCTTTTTTATAGATAAAAATCAGTCGGATGAATGTGATGCCTTCTCAGGCCCAACTAGCCACCCATGCACAAATTTTGTCTTATAGCACAACACAAGATTGCATTAGGTTAACTTTTGATTAACCTAATGGTAGCAACGATTTAAACAAAACAAAACTGGATTGTTTTCTAAGTAGATTCTTCCTTATAATTCCATCTTCCTGTCTGTGTCCCGGTGGACTTTGGTAGCCGTTTGAGGCACCCTTAACCCTTATGTACTTCTACAGAAAGAAGAAAAAAAAAAACAAAAAACAACCAACTTCCTCTCTGGACCCCACATCAGCAAAACAGTGCGGACCCCTGAGCAGCAAGCCATGAAATCAAACAGGACTCACGTGGGGGATGAGGCGGCAGGAGCGGATGGAGTCGCTGAAG